GCTCCTCCCAAGCGCGACCCGACGCACCCCGCACCCCTCCCGCCCGGACTCCCGGGACCCCGCTCCTCCGCCTCACGGGAAACTTTGTTCCCCGCCGCCCCGCCTCCAAGCTTTGTACCTCCTGGTAGGATGTGGAGAGCTCCTGCCGGATCATGGCACTGACCGGAGCGAAGGCGCACCAGAGCCCGCTACGCCCGGGAGGAGCAGCGGGGCGAGGACCGCAGCCGCAGCGCCCCGACCGGCCGGCTCCGCGAGGCTCCAGGGTTCGGAGGGGCGGCGCCGAGACCCAGCTGGGCGGCCCTTGGCGCATGCGCCTGGCTCCCGCTGCGGCTGGAACTGCGAAAGGGTTGCTGGGAAGTGTAGTTCTGCGCGGAGGGCGCTGCTCAGCAGCAGAGCAGGGGCGAAGCCGGCGCTCACCCCAACGGGGCTTAACCCGGCGTTAGGAGCGCGTGCTCTCTTCATCTCTCACTTCCTCGTTTTATTGAAGGGGGAGGAATGGAGAAAATTAGTGGAAAGTGGAACAAGGGGGCAAGATCAGATGGGTAGGAGAGCCTAACCTGTAATGGCAAGAGGAAGGTTGCCCTGGTGGTTTATAACGGTAGTAAGTATCTGGAGAGCACTTCATAGGTTAAAAGCACTTTCACGCACATAATGCCCTTGATCCTGCAAGGACCCCCTGTAAGAGGGGGCATTTTTCTCCCTGTTTTACAGATGAGGAAACTGAGGTGCCTTGTTTCAGAAAGGATGTCGGGAAAGGCAGTGGTCAAGTGAAGATTATTTAATCCAGGAATGAACTATAGAGTCCCAGTTCTTTCCACTATTCCTGGGCAGACACTTGGATTCAGAACCTCTAGGTTACAGTCCCGGCTCTGGCCCTCTCCCAGAGCTGGTGCAATGCTCTGGGCGCTCCCCTCTTCGCCTTAGAGTGCAGCAGCTAACCCTGCCCTGCTTCACAGAGCTTTAAGAGAACCAAAATAGATCTGGCAGAAAAAAACGAAGGGGCCCTTCACCACAGAAGACTCGCGCCCTGAACCTGGTGGAGGACTGGGTGTTTTCCCTGCAGCGGGGTGGACCTGAGAGCCACATCTCCCCTCCTCCCCGCTGCCTGAACAGCTGTTCTGTGCGCCGCCCTGGGTTGCTCATGCCTTGGCGAAGGCTGCTCTGTGTCACCGGCAGCTGCAGCTCTGCCACCCGCTGCACCCAGGCCACTCAGGGCCTCTTCCCTCCTCAGCCGCAACCACAGTAGCACCAGCCACATCAGAGCACCCTGGACCTCCCAGAGAGCTAGCAGTGAAAGGCCTCCATCGCCTCTCCTGACCACCCTCCCCACCCCAGGCTCTCTTCTCCTAGGTCTGTTAAGTGAGAAAATCTATATAGCAGCTAATACATTGTAGGCACTCAACAAACATTTGTTAAATTTATGACTGGAACACTTATGCTAGCCATTACATTTAACACTTGCTTGCCAAAACAAATAACAAACAACCATTAATTTCCTTACTGTATTAATACAAGGGTGAATGATGGAACAAGTCACACAATCATAGAATTTTAGAGCTGGGAGGAACCAGAGAAATCTAGCCCAGCCCTATCATTTCCCTCTACTCTTTGCTGATATGGCCAAACTGGAACACGATGGGCTCCCGTATTTGAAGGAGATACTGACTAGCACAGTATTCAGCATGGTTTAATAGATACAATGTGCGGGGCACCAGGAGAGCGAATGAATGGGATGCGCCAAGGTCCTTGCTCTTATGGCTCTTCTGTGCGAGAGCAGAGAGACAGACCATGAGCACAAATAGAATTTTCTGTAGGTGCTGTCCCCAGGTCCTTTCCTTCCATTCCCCCAAGCACCACTCAGAATGGAGCCATTGATCTTCCAATCCCAAACCTGCTCCCCTCCCAGTCTTTCGCATACATTCCATCCAATCTGCTCTTTCCAAACGCTGTAGTCATTTTCGGTTCCTCTTTTGTCAGACACCCCACAGCTAAATCAGCAAATTCTGCTGCCTCTACTTTAAACATTAATTCAGAATCTGACCATATTTCACCACCGCCGCTATCACCACCCTGGTGATGGTACACACCGCCAGCGTTTTCAGTCACCTCCTAGCTGCTCTCTCTCCTTCCACCCTTGCACCCAGCACAGCGGCCAGTAAACAAAGTCAGACGATGTCACTCCTCTGTTCCAACCCCAAAAAGCCAAAGTCCTCACAGTGGGGCCTACATGGCCCAATAGGATTTGTCCCGAAGCCCCCATCTTTCTTATTACTCGTCCCTTCCCTCTCTCAGCCTCAATGTGCTGAGCCTACGAGCCTTCGCACTGGCTGTTCCCTATCCCTGGAATGCTCTTACCCTGGGTATCTATATGACTCACTTCCTCACTTCCTTCAGTTCTTTCTCTAAATATCACCTTATCAGTGATGCCTCCTCTGACCATCCGGTTAAAACAGCAAGCCCCATTGTCAGCACATCCCCTTACCCTGCTTATTTTTCTCCTGAGCATGCACCACCTTCTGACTTTCATTTATTTCCAGTCTCCCTCCACTAGTATGTAATTTCCATGAAGGTAGAGTTCTTACATGTTTAACTCATTGCTGTATCCCAGTGCCTCTAACAATGCCTGACATTTATTGGTACTTAAATAGTCATTTGAATAAACAAAATAATTCCACATAGCGAAAAAAGCTCTAAAGAAAATAAAAAAGGATATACGATAGTGATGGGGCAACTGTGCAGAGGTGCTGCTCTATCTCGCGGGTGTCAAGCGAGGCCTCAGGGTGGTGGTGACTTGTGAGCTGAGACCTGAATGACAAGAAGGGACCAGCACATGACTACTTGCACCCCAGGCAGAAGGCACCAGTACAGTACAAAGGTCCAGGCTGGAACCCAAGCAAAAAGCAAGGTGGCTGGAGGGGACCAATGGAGGGCCACATAGGAGACAGAGTCAGAGGGGTAGACAGCTGCTAGATGGTGGAGGCTGGGTTGTGCTGATCCTGGGCATGTTTGTCCTCAGATCCAGTCCTCGCCTCTCAGCTCTGGGTTTCCACTGGGTTCAGTCAAGAGGAAGCACTGCTGGGAGGTTGGAGGGGGTCAGGGTGAGGGAGAAGCCAGGCTTTTCTTTCCCTTGCTGTCTGCCCCAGCAGCTTCCCTCCATGGCTCCAGACCCTGCTGCAAAGGCTTTCTGTGGTTCTAGCTCCAGCCAGGTGACCCAGACCCCCAGAATCCAATATCACCACCTCTTCCCTTCCACTGGCAGGATGCTGCTAATCTTCCCCGTTCCTAATCTCAGGGTTGCTTCTCAACCTCTTCTGTCACCTGTGTAACCAACTCCCTGCTTTATAGCCACTCGGTTTTACTCAGAATAGTTTCTATTTTTCCTTGCAGGGGGCTGATTTGTTTGGAAAAATGAACCTTGATTCACATAGACAAGAGCAATCAGGGAGATGCCTGGAGGAAGCCAAGGGCATGTGAGCATGTTATTAAATTACAGACTTGGACTCAGCATCTCAGGGAGGAGGAAGCTAGATCTGATCAGTAGAAATTATAGGGAGTATCTTTTGGCTCAAAGGGGTTCCTAACAAATAGAACTGGAGAAAGGGCTCAAGCAGAGAAATAGCACAGGGTGTGCCTGGGATGTTATCCGGGAGCATGATGCATCAGGAAGGGAATGGTATTCTATTCATGGTTTAGAAGGGCCTCTTCTATCCGGGAGCTCCTGAGACACAGTGTGACATAGATACTGCACACCCTAGCTCACGCGGCCTTTCATATCCATTTCCGTTTTTAGTTTCAACACAATCCTATCAAGGAGGCAGGCCAGTCTGTTACTAATGTGGAAATTGAGATTCAGAGGGTTGTGGACAGACCTGTTTAGGTCACTCTGCCTGAGAAGCCCATTCTGTTGAATAAGAAAACTTGGTGCAGTTCTGGGGGGGGAGGGGGGAGGGGGGTTGTCACCTGCTGGTTAGAGGCAGACTCTGGGACACAGGCCTGTGCTCTGTTTTGGCTCTATCACCTACTGTGTGACCTTGGGCAAGGTACTTAAGGTCTCTGTACTTCAGTTTCATCATCTGTAAAATGGGTGATAATAATGGTTCTTACTTCATAGTGTTATAGTGAGGATGGCATGAGTTAATACATGTAAAAGTGCTGAACTAGTGTTTGGCACACAGTAAGCCCTGCACTGGTCTCCTTTGCCAGTTTTCCCAACCACAAAACGCTGGCGGGGCCCAAAAACTCAGTCCACGGTCCCCTCCTTCTCTCTCTCCACATGTACTTCCTTAACAATCTCATTCATTCTATGGCTTTAAATACATTCTATACGCCAGTGATCCCAAAATTTATATCTCTAGCCTAGAACGCCCCCCCCCCCC